TGGCTAAACCTCTGTGGCCTTGGTTAGGCTGGGCCTCGGACTGCAGACTCACAGTCCAGCTCTGGCTTAGTCCGAAAAGCCTCACCCACCCACTAACGAGGTAGGACCTGTCGAGGCATTCCAGAATGGCCCCAGGTTGGCCTTCTCTGGGCCTCCCTTTCCTCCTCGGTAAAGGAGGCATAGAATCCGGGCAGGACTGAGGCAAAGCTTTGCAAACCCCAAAGCACCGGGAAATAGCCGAGGCAGAATGGGCAGAAAGCCCGACTCTGAACCAGTGGGCACCTGGATTCAAGTCCCGGCTCCGAAATCTGCTGACCGTGTGGCCCTGGGCAAGTCACTTAGTCTTTTAGCGATTTAAGCAACTCTCAGACTTAGTTGTGGAGACTTATAGCCTGCATTGGTAAAGGGAGCCCTCCCTCCTTTTGAAATGACAGGGCAAGTCCCCAGCCTGATACCCGTGGGACTCGAAGTGTCCTCTGGGCTTTAGTCTCCTCCAAGTGACGCATTGTATCTGACACCTCAGAGAGAAGTAGAATGTCAGGACGCCCCCTGAGGGCGAGGCCCGGAACAGGCAGGAATTCCTGGGATCCCCTTTCTTTTCTGCCTTTGGGTTCCCAGCACAGTGTCTGCATGGATTTCTTTTATTACACCTGCTACTTGCCCATGAGTATGGGAAACTCCCAGTGAGGAAATTTCTTCCACCAAAAGAAATTGGCCCCAGATTGTGTATCATGTCAGAGACTGCACCTCAAGGTTAGGCGACTGCCTGGGGTGACCCAGGCGGTGGAACAGCTGACAGACAGGGTGTTTGGAGGTTTGCAAGGAGCTTTAGAAATATTTCGTTTGACCCTCACAACAACTGGCAGGTAAGCCAGTACCAGTAAGGGTACTATTATTCTGTTATTATCCCCATTTTACAAAGGAGGAGATTGAGGATGAAAGACTGAAAGGGGCAAAGTGTCCTATCTGGGATCCAATGGTTGTCTGAGGCAGAATTCAAATTCAGCTCTTCCTGACTCCAAGTCCAGGGCCCTCTCCACTTCTGGGACTCAAACCCAGGTCTTGTGATTCAGAGGCCAGCTGTCTAGCTGAGAAGCAACATCCCCTCCCACATAGATGCTTACCAAGCACTTGGTGGGTTGAGGTGGTGGGTTCCCAGGACGAGGTTTGCGCTTGTCAAAGAGCCCACCCTCTTGGGACAATTCTGGACCTGACTAACTCACCTTTCTACCACATTTGAAGTTTGACAAAACCCTTTCCTCCCAACACCCCACTGAGATGAGAGCAGCAAAAAAAAAAGTGACCACCCCCATTTTACAGGGTGGGTAAATTGAGGCTTAGATCAGGGAAATGGTGTTTCAAGGTCACACAACAAATCCAGATCCTGAGTCTGGAGACAAGGGAAGAAGAAACAACTATAGTTGTTTCAGGATCTCAAGGCTGCCCGTAAGGTGATGTCAACCCCCCCCCCCCCCAAGGTGGCCTGCCCAGGCCTATTCTCTAGCCCCATGCAGACTTACCAATAGACTTTTGTCGCAGCATGAGGCCTGGTCCAGGGGGTAGGTAAGATGGCCGTTCATAACTAGGCTGGGAACGGTGGTGGGGATCAAAGCTGGACTGGGTAGGGGGCAAGGGCAGGTCAAGAGAACAGGCAACAAGGACAGAAGTTAGAGTCATGTTTCCCTCTCTCCAGCACCCTCCCAATTTTCCCTTCCTTCCCCAAAGGTTTCTGTAGGGACAGATCGCTGATGTTAGGAGAAAGGGGAATCAGAGAAAGATGGGGGGAACCACCAATCTGTACAGATCTGGGTCCCCAGAAGTCAAAGGAAACAAGGACCCCCCCCCAATCTGCCATGTTTAAAGAAATAGCCTGATGTTTACAGCTGGTCACCAGGGCATCTCTGAAGCATCCATTTGGCTGTGGAACGTCTGAAATATTCTTGGGAGTGGGAGGGGAGGGCGATGAATCCAGACACAGGTGAGGTGTCAGCACGGAGCCCAGCAAACCAAAGGAGTGACTCACATTTCTATAGTGACCCTGGGGCAAGTCACTGCCCTTTTCTCAGCCTCACTTTCCTCATTGGTAAAATGGAGATAATACTTTAAGCATTTACCTCCCAGGGTGGTTAGGAGGACCCAATAAGATGCTGTTTAGAAGCACTTTGCAAACCTAAAAGTGCTATGCCGTTTCCAGTTACTATTATTATCACGTCTCTGTTTGGGACAGGGCCTGTGATTTCAATGGCAGAGGGAGCTCCTGGGGGGAGGGTTTCCTGGGGGCACCCAGAAGCCAAAGCTCCCCCACGTGACTCACCAGGCAGCCCTCTAACCTCCATGACATACTGAACCTGCCCTGGTACTCAGGCTTACACATGACAGCAGGCTAGCCTTCAGGCATGGGAGCTGGCTTTTTAAACTCCCAACTCTGAGGCATACTGGTTGTGAGGACACATCACTTCAGAGCTCACTCTCAGGGCTCTCTCTAAGACCAGAAGATGCAGAGCCAGGCCTGACCTGTGTTGGTTAAGGGAGTTCCCTCATTGGGAGATCACCACACCAAGGAAATCAGAGGCCTACTCCCACCTCCCCAAATGGTTTGTGAATCAATCTCCTCTCAACAGCACTGGGAGGCAGAGAGTACAGAGAGAATTGTGTCATTTTACAGATGAGGAAACTGAGGTCCAGAGAGTTGCCTGGGGTTAAATGAATAGTAAGGGTCAAGGGGCAGCTAGGTGGCGCAGTGGATAGAGAACCCACACTGGATTCAGGAGGACCTGAGTTCAAATCCGGCCTCAGACACATAACACTTACTAGCTGTGTGACCCTGGGCAAGTCACTTAACCCCATTGTCTCGCCGAAAAAAAAAATAGTAAGAGTCAAGACCTCGATTCAAACTCAGTCCTGTCCTTATTCCAAAGCCCACTCTGCCACCTTAAGGAAGGGCACGTATGATCACCTCTGAGGTCTTTCCTGGAAACTGATAGCTTGGGAACAAGGAGCATCATGGATCAAAGAGGCTGAGCTGGAAGGAATCTCTGAAGCTGAGTCAAAGCCCTTCATTTTAAAGATGGGGAAACTGATGCAAAAGGGATCTGCCCAAGGTCACACAGGCAGTAAGGGGCAAGGACAGGACTGGAACCCATGTCCTCTGACTCAAAATCCAGCGTCCTTTCCCCAAGGCAAGCAGTCAATCATGTAACACTTTAAGGCACATCCCTCAGAACATTACTGTAAGTTAGGGAATGCCAAGATTTCCATCAAGAATAGTTCGTTTGGGGGCAGCTAGGTGATGCAGTGGATAGAGGACTGGCTTGGAGGCAGGAAGACCCTGAGTTCAAATCCGGCTTCAGACACTTGACACTTACTGGCTGGGTGACTCTGGGCAAGTCACTTAACCCCGATTTCCCCCCCCCCCCCCCCGCCAAAAAAATCACTTAGATGCATTCACTGAATTCTTTGTCTTTGTCCCAAGGAAAGGTTCAATGTGGATGGGGTCAGGTGAGGGGTGGGGAGGGAGAAAAGTACTCAGGTACTCTACAGTAAAGACCAAAAGGCATCAATGAAAGAAAAACAAAAGGGCCAGCCCATGCCACTGATTTCCTTTTTTGGAAAGGAAAGGGTCATTGAACTGGTGGGTAGAAGGAATACTTTTGATAGAGTTTATCTAGTTTTGTAAAGCATTTGATAAAGTGTCTCATGGTATTCTTGCGGAAAAGATGGAGAGGTGTGGGTTAGAATTCATGACTTCTTAACCTTTTTCCACTGAAGACCCCTTCAGCACTTCTTAGACTATAGGTGGACTCCCATGTGGGGTAGAGCCCCACAGTTTAAGGTAGATGATAATGCAATTAAATAGATTCAGGCTTGGCTGAATGGTTAGTCTTCAAGCGCAACCACTAAAGGTTTGATGTCAATTTGGTCCAGGGTTTCTAGTGGAGTGGCCCAGGGAGCTGTGCCTGGCCCTGTGATGTTTAATATTTTCACCAAAGACTTGGTTAGATGGTATCCCTATCAGATCTTCAGATATTCAAATCCGGCTTCAGACACTTGACACTTACTAGCTGTGTGACCCTGGGCAAGTCACTTAACCCCATTGCCTAGCAAAAGACAAACAAAAACCAAATCTTCAGATGACATAAAATCAGGTGTGAGAGCCAACATGGTGGCCAAAAAGATCTAAAAAGGCCTTAACAGACTAGAAGGAAGGGCCGAATCCAAGAAGGTCTAATCTAATGGGGAGAAATGCAAAGGATTACATTTTCATTCAAAAATCAGCTTTCTATGTCGAAGATGGAGGAAATCTGGCTAGACACTGGGAGACTTTAGTCGGTTCTAAGTTCAATCTATGACAACAGTAGGATATGACAGCTAAAGAAGCCCGGGGATGCTGAGGCTGATTAGAAGACTTCAGAGATATCGTCCCCATATCAGAGCTCCTCGGAAGCCTTGTGGTCAGTTCTGGGCATCCAAGTTCAGAAAGGACGTGGATGCTATGGAGGATGTTCTGAAGGTAGAGGGTTTCAAGTTCAGGCTACCTGGATTATTGGAAGGAAATGAGGATGCTTAGCTTGGAGAAGATATATGATGAGGGAGGGGAACGTGATCACTGTCTTCTGTCACTGGAAGGGTTGGCCCATGGAAGAAGGCTTTGACGTGTTCATTTTAGTCCAAGAGGCAGGACCAAGAGCATAGGTGGAAGTGGGAGAGGATGATTTGGGTGTGATATCAGGAAGAACTTTCTAATGAGGAAGGCTGCCCCAAAATGGAAAGGGTTGCCTGGGGAATAACGGGTCCCCCCTCACTGGAATGTTTCAGGAGAGGGTGGAGGAACATTGTTGACAATGTGATAGAAGGCTGCTTCAGGTTGGATTAGATGGCCTCTAGGGTCCCTTAGAATTCTGGGATTCTGTGGATTTTGGCAAGTGCTTCCTCCCTTCAGCCCCCTTCTCTAAAAACAGGGAAGACACTCCTCAGACTGCCTATTTCACTGGGCTGTTGCAAGAAGAGGCCTTTGTTGACAGTAAAGCAGTATAGCTAGCAGAATGTGAGCTATTATTTATGTCATTAGAAAATGACTGAGGTGACAGGGGGACCCCTGTTCTCCCTCATGACCAAGACCAGACAGATCTTTTTCTCACAAAGTGTGGCAATATTAGAAACACTTAAAAAGCCAAGCAGTCTGAGAGCCCCTGAACTATTGAAATGACTATCAGATCTCTTCACCTCCAGTTTTCTCTCTTCCATCTCTCCTTTGCCCCTCTGATGGGCTAATCTTTATCTCTAACCCCCACCCCCCTTCAGTGGTTGAGCAATTCCCAGAATCAGAGAATTTCAGAGTTGGAAGAGATCTTGACCACCTGTCCAATACATATGCCTAAAGGCATCTCCTCCACCTTATCCTCTACTTGTAAGCCTCCAACAAGGGGGAGAGGCTCCTTCCCAAGGTGTCCCATCACACTCTTGGATGGCTTCAATGCTTACAAAGTTTTTCTTTACCATCCTGCTCAAACTTGCCCCTTGGCATCTCTCCCCTTCTCCTAGTTTTGCCATTTGGGGCCAGGGGGAGCAAGTCTAGTTTCCTTTCACATCATGGCCTTCGGAGTACTTGGAGACACCTCTTGTGTTTCTCTCTGAGTCTTCGTGCAAAATCTCTCCACATCTCCTTTGGTTGATCCTCGTGGCAAGAACTTGAGGCCCTCTGCCATCCTGGTTGCCCTCCTTGGACATTCTCCACATTATCAATTTCCTTCCTAAAATGTGGTGCCCAGAACAAAACAAAATATTCCAGATGGAGTCTGACCAGGGCAGAGGACAGTGAACGATCACTTCCCTCGACCTGGAAACTGGGCTCTCCACACAGCTCCAGCGAGCATTAACTTGGACAGCCACATTGTCCTTTTGACTCCTAGCATACTTGTGGTCCACTGGAATCCCCAAAGCTATTTCAAACTCATGTCTAACCACGCCCTTCTCTAACTTGTGCTTGTGAAGTGGATTTTTTGAACCCAGATATAATGATTTACATTGAACCCCATTGAATTCCATCTGCTTAGAGTCAGCCTCTAGGCTGGGAAGATTTGGGGAGATCATGATTGGCATTCAGTGTGTTAGCTACTCCTCCTATCTTGGGGTCATCTGTTTATTTTGCTCTCTAGGTCTCAGTTTCCCCACCTGTACAAAGTGAGAGGGCTGGAGTAGCTTTCTGTTCCAGCACTAAATCTGATCATGACCTTCAGCTCTATTCCTCCCCAAAGCCAAATATGATCAGGTATTTTCTTCACAACTTGTAGAATCTTTTCTGACACTGATGACAGACAGTCTCCTAGAATGCTGAGCTGGATGGGACCTTCAAAGCCAGGCGTGCCCTTGTTGAATCCAGGACCAATATGGAGCTAGTAGGAGAGTATACAATTGAAGATTAGCAGCTCCTTGGGACCAGACTGGTCACCAGGACACCAAGCAGGTTGGATCCACTGACGCATCACCTGTGCAGGTGGTCCTACCCTAGGGACTGAAAACTTGGTGCTTTAGAGACATTTTGAGAACTGTATTTCAATATCATTAGTTTCCTTGGGAAGCCTATATATCTTCTTTGCTGCATTTAGAAATATTATTCT